GCCTTCCAGAGAGAAGTGTATTCCTTGGGTGATGTCTAACACCAATCCTGGGGCACGGAGTCCGGCCGGCGGTGAGGATTGTAGCTGGTCCTGGGGTCAGAGCCTGACACGGCAAGAACGTCGCCTGTGGTGTCACGTCAGGCCTCACATCACCAGTCTTTTATTTTGGGCGGCCGGTGCTGGGGCTTGAACTCTGGGCCTGGGTGCTGTCCCTGAGCCGCTCTTACTCAAGGGTAACACTCTATCCTTGGAGCCACAGCGCCACTTCCAGCTTTTTCTGTGATTCATTGGAGATCAGAGTCTCACGGACTTTACTACCCCTGCTGGCTTCTAACCACGATCCTCAGATCTCAGCCTCCTGAGTAGCTAGGATGAGAGGCGTGAGCCACTGGCGCTCAGCTTCGATCAGTCTTTTGTGACTCCCATATGACCAGTCTCTCTTGCCCATAATCCTTGACGGGCTAATTTTTTTTGGGGGGTCGTGGGGCCTGAACTCTGGGCCTGGACGCTGCCCCTCAGCTCTTCAGCTCAAGGCGAGCGCTCTACCACTTGAGCCACAGCGCCACTTCTGGCTTTTTTCTTTTTGCTTATGTGGTGCTGAGGAATCGAACCCAGGGCCTCATGCATGCAAGGCAAGCACTCTACCACTGAGCCACCTTCCCAACCCTCAATTTTTTATTTATTTTTATTTATTTTTGGGTCCGGTCGTGGGGCCTGAACTCTGGGCCTGGGCGCTGTCCCTCAGCTCTTCAGCTCAAGGCTGGCGCTCTACCACTTGAGCCACAGCACCACTTCTGGCTTTTTTCTTTATGCTTATGTGGTGCTGAGGAATCGAACCCAGGGCCTCAGGCATGCAAGGCAAGCGCTCTACCACTGAGCCACCTTCCCAGCCCCTCAATTTTTTTTTTTAAGTGATCATTCCTGGGAAGGTGGCCTGCGTTACGGGGTGCCCCAGCTCACTGGGAGGCTGAGACAGGAGGATGGCTTGAACCCAAGAGGCTGGGTTGACAAAATGATACCTGACCCATTAAAAATGAAATGACCATAGCAGCCACCCAATGAGCTGTTTTGATTCCATACTTTCTATTAAAGTCATCATAAATCGTTAGTAATTGGAAACTACCTGTGCATGAGTGTTTCCAGAAACAAGACCGACAGGTGCAAGAGGAGAAGGCTTCAGATCTTCCCTTGCTCGAACGTCCTGCGGTCCCCAGCAGCTGAAGTTTGCACTTGCAGGAATGGAACAATACACGGGGAACTTGCCCGTGCAGTAAGAGCTGGTAGCTATGGAAACTACTCCTCTATAGTAGTTAAGATAATGGAATTGATCTCTCTCTCTCTCTTTTTTTTTTTTAAACTCTGCACAGCCACAATGGATACCCTGCCCCCCCCCCCCCCCCCCCCCCCCCCGCCATGGCTGCTTGTCAGGTTTTCCATAGAGAAGAATAGTACTTAGCCGGGCTCATAACCCTAGCCATTCAGGAGGCTGAGATCTGAGGATCTTGGTTTAAATCTGGAATGAGCAAGAAAGTCCATGAGATACGGATCGCCATTTGACAGCCAAAAAGTCCGAAGTGGAGGTGTGGTTCAAGAGGTAGAGCACCAGCCTGGAGTGGAAAAAACTAAGGGACAGCACTAAGACCCTAAGTTCAAGCCCTAGTACCAACACACACACACAAATTTGTTTGGAAAACCTGTCCTGTATTGTGTTTGTCCAAATTGGTTCGGAAAACCTGTATTGTGTTTGTCCTTATACTCACTCTTCATTTGGATGTAAACACATGTCCATCTCTATAATACTGTTTCCATATGACTGTGATTCTCAGTGATCAGGGTTGAGTTTTTCTCCAAGTGAACATATATGGAAAGAATTTCTAGAGGCTTTTACCCACCCCTGACCCCCACCCCCGTCTCCTTGATAGGAGGTGCCTTGTGACTGTGTAAGTCAGGAGCAAATCTTTCTTTCCCGGTGGTTGAGTCAGAAGACGGACAGAGAAGAATTCTTCTTTTCTCTTTCTACGTTATTTGGTCCTTCTCTTTTATGTTACATGTTTCCTCCAGCATGCGGCCACAATTGCAGTCTGGTGTTCCAGTATGACTTAAGCAAAGAAAGCTTTGCATCTTTTCTCCCCGACCCCCTACACCCCGACTTTTACCTCCTTGAATGTGCTGATCAGTTTTTATTTCACTTGAGCTTTGGGATCCTCTGTTTTTACCTGGTAACATCAAGGACCCTAGGTCTTCCCCAGAGACTGGGGTGGATTCCTTTCCCACTTGGGTCGGGCTCGCTGTCTACAAGGGGGCGGGCAGACACGTCACCAATGTCACTTCACTGTGGGGAGTTCACAAGGGCAGATGGCCTCGCGGGGGAGGGAGGGAGGGACACACAACTCAGACGCAAAGTCAGAGGAGGTGGCTCAGAGGGGAAGACATGTAGACTGAGACCTGAAGTTACCTTCAAGGAGAGGGATCAGAAAGAGAGAGAGAGAGAGAGAGAGAGAGTGTGTGTGTGTGTGTGTGTGTGTGTGTGTGTGTGCTTGTAGGGGCGGGGCGGGACAGGAAATGGTACACACCAGGGTGCTGGGTGCTTGAAATCACTGTGCAAAGAAACCTCAAGTCTGGTTTGATTTCCTTCCCCGCTCTAGAAGTCCGATTTCAAAGAGAAACACTTGCAAAATCCTGCAGACTTTAAACGTTTCCAGCCCACAGCTAGGGGCAGTGCTGGTAGAGAGGACCGACGCGTAGGAATATCGGGGTGAGCCCTTCTGCCGGGCTGGGCCCTTTGGGTTAGGCAGGGTTGGCCTACCCAAGCAAAGCATTCCTGCTGGGGAATAATCCAGAACCCTCTGGAAGGAGGCTGCGTTTGATGGGGAGCAGCGGGCGGTGTGAGCTGAGCCAGGCAGGACGTGTATTTGTGGCAGCAGCGTGGGCGTGGGGCCTGCCCTGGGCCCGGTCACTCGGGAGCGCGTGAGACACTAGAGCCAGCTTCTGAGTTCTGAATTGCTTTGCGACCCACATTTGGCCGTGGACTCTGTGGGCTCACGAATGAGCCGTTCCCCCCCCCCCCCCCCCACACACACACACGGGCAGCGAGCAAGTAGGGAATCTGGGGACAGGCAGGCAGGGTAGGATTTTAAGCAGGGGTCGGGTAACGCCCGCTGAGGGTCTTGTTCTTGGGGATTTGAAACGCGTGTAGGTGGTCATTCCTGCATCCAACATGCATACTTCTCAGCAGCAAAAGTTACAAATGCCGCGTCAGCAGGAAAGCCCTTCAGGCCCGTCCTTCTAGCTACTCAGGAGGCTGAGATCTGAGGATCACGTCTTGAAGCCAGCCAGGCCAGGAAAGTCCTTGAGACTCTTATCTCCAATGAACCACCAGAAAACCAGAAGTGGCGCTGTGGTTCAAAGTGGTAGAGCACCAGCCTCCAAGCCCTGAGTTCAAGCCCTACAGTGATCACAAAAAAAACCTCCAAAACACAAAAACAATTAAAAGTGATTTTCCAAGTATAAATCCAGAACTTACTGGGGAATGTGTTAAAAATGCAAATCTGCAGCTCCCTCTATACCAGCTGTATCAGTAACCAGGATGAGCCCTGCAGTCTGGTTTTACAGCCTGGGGGAGATTGACATGCACGCTGAGCCTCAGTTAGACAGACTACAGGTAACAGTCAGTCAGCCCTGGGCCAGTGTCAACCTCTTTTTTCTGTTTCTAACTGCACATATATTACAATGCCCCTGAGGGACGGTTCTGTGTCTGGGTGGACATGAGAACTTACACCCGTTTTGTTAAAATACGAACCCTGTAGTTAGCTTCTACCATTGTACATTGGTTAATAGCATATGACGAAGCCCACGGTGACAGAGAACCACAGTTAAATTCTGTAGTTCCATTAATACCACCAGAGCAGTAGCTCCCTACTCCCCCCACTTATTATTTTTTGACAGTCCCCTGCAGTAAGGAGATGTCACCCAAAACATAGCTGGGTGACCCAGGATATCTCCATATGTTCCCTGAGCTCGAGGCTTCATCCGCCCAAGCGGATACTTCTGTCTACCTCCTAGCCATTGCTGGTGCCGGGCAGTGGTAGCTGTCATCTGACAGGGTGGAGGGGAGGGATGGTACTGTTACCCTATTTTTCAGAACACCATCTGTTTTTGTTTTTTGTTTTTGTCAGTCATGGGGCTTGAACTCTGGGCCTGGGCGCTGTCCCTCAGCTCTTCACCTCAAAGCTAGCGCTCTACCACTTGAGCCACAGCGCCACTTCTGGTTTTCTGGTGGTTCATTAGAGATAAGAGTCTCACGAACTTTCCTGCCACCAGCTGAATTCCAACCTCAATCCTCAGATCTCAGCCTCTTGAGTCGCCACCAGTGCCAGCGAGGAATAGTTTTGAAAAATAAATTTCTCTTATAAATGCATCTAAATTCTGTATACTCTTTTCCAAAGTGTAAGTCCATTTGTTTGTTTTGGTGCCAGTCTTGGAGCTTAAACTCAGGGCCTGGTCGCTGTCTCTGAGCTTTTCTGCTCAAGGTTAGTGCTTTACCACAGCGCCACTTTTGGCTTTGATTGGTGACTAATTGGAGATAAGAATTTCACGGGCTTTTCTGCCTGGTTTGTCTTCAAACCTCGATCCTCAGATCTCAGCCTCCTGAGTAGATAGGATGACAGGTGAGAGCCACCAGTGCATGGCTTTATGTTTGCTTTGATACGAAACATAGCCCCCCAAATCCTCATGGGCACTGAGACGATGATGCTGTAAGTAGCCTGGTGTCCCCCCACCATCACGCTGAGTGGGGCTTCCGGGAATGCCCGGGGAGACGCTGGCTTTTTCTGGAATATTCGTGCCTACTGGGGACTAGGGGTGACATCTCCATCTAGGGAGCTCTGCGAACTGGAAACTCAGAAACCCGAGGCAGTGAGCGCGTGGTCGAGCCAGGGCCGGCTCGCCCACGAACCCCAGAGCCGAGGAAACCCAGCTAAGATGCTCTCGTCTTCCTGGAGGTCATGATCGTGGTTGGCGGCCAGGCGCCCAAAGCGATCCGCAGCGTGGAGTGCTATGACTTCGAGGAGGACCGGTGGGATCAGATCGCCGAACTCCCATCCAGGAGATGCCGAGCAGGTAGGCCCCCTCTCCCCCCATACCCCAGGCCCCACACCGGCTGATCACTGCTGCCTGCCCCTGGCTGGTCCCCCCTCCATGCTGGGAGTCCTGAGAAGTTTCCACACATTAGCAACCCCCCCCCCCCCCCCCCCGCTTTCCACTCACACACGTGGTTGGGAGTTCAAACCCATCCAGGCAAATAGCGTGCAGAGATCCATCATGTCTTCCCGGTGTGTAAAGTTTCGCATTAGCCTCTGTCACGAGTCTGTCGCTCACGCGCTTGGCTGGCCGCTCCCCAGGTGTGGTGTTCATGGCCGGCCACGTGTACGCCGTGGGGGGGTTCAATGGCTCGCTGAGGGTGCGGACGGTGGACGTGTACGACGGCGGGAAGGACCAGTGGACGTCCATCGCCAGCATGCAGGAGCGCCGCAGCACGCTGGGGGCCGCTGTGCTCAATGACCTGCTCTACGCCGTGGGGGGCTTCGACGGCAGCACGGGTAGGTCTGGGCCGCGGCCGCCACCTGGGGGGCGCGCGGATCACCGTCCACCCAGGAGCGGACCGGTCCATCCCCCTCACGGTGCACGAGGTTCCAGTGGGCGACTGACTGACTTGCCCCGTTGCGTTGGGCATCGTGGCGGGAGTGTGTGACAGCAAACACGGCTGGCCTCAGGGCTGGGAAGCCAATCATATATCACACGATGATTATTTGGGATCCTCTACCCCTTTCGGTAGAGACTCGAGGCCCTTCCGCAGCTCTCCCGCCCCTAAAACTCCACCATTTTCCAGTTGCTCCTTGGAGAACGAGCCTGTACCACAAACATGGGCCTGTGCGGACAGCCAGGATCCAAACTCTACTGCCATCCTCCTTAACCCATCTTAGCAACAGAATAGCAACCAACGCATCTCCTCCCCCCCGCCCACAGTTTCCCATGTCCCCACTGTGTCTAGAAACCTGTTCCTTGGCAGGTAAGACTTAGAACAAGAGCTCCCTTGGCTGGAGGAAGCCTTGATCTCTGGTCCAAACCCCACTGCACAAAATGAGAAACTGAGGCTCAGCGGTTGAAGGAGGCCCAGATCAGACCCTACTGCTAGGGCTGGTCTCTCTCTGTTTCACTACATAGTTGTCTCTGAAGACAGAAACTCCACTACACTAAAGTCCTCCTCCTTGGCTTCAGGGGAGAGGAAGAATCAGTGTTTATCGCTCGTCTGGATTCCGTTTCTTTCTTCCCGGCCTTCTCTCGCCCTCGCTCCTGAGGCTCAGGGTCTCTGAACCTGAGGCTGTGTGTGTCACACAGAGCCTGGGGACGAGAGGGCAGAAGGCGACAGTGTGTCGTGTAGCACCTGGAGAATCTCTGACTAAACGGATGGCTTTGAACAGGAGGATATTGCTTTCTTTACTCATGAAGTCGGGAAGTTGTTGGCTGTAACCAGAGCACCTCAGCAGGGCATTTACAGTTCCCTTGGGCCCTCCCTCACGGTCACAACAGAGCCACTGTAACTCCAGCCAACACATTTTTTTGCCCCAGGCAATACACAGCAGGAAGAGGTAATGCCGCAGGGCCAGTTCCAGAAACCCCCCTGGCATTTCCACCCGGGTGTCCTTGGCTCAGTCTCCTCCCCCTTCCCCTCGAGGGAGGGGCATCTTGGAAGGCCAGTGTTTGGCCTTCTGGCTTCTCAGCTAACGGGAGAAAGCGGAAAGGGAAGTGGGAAAGGCGTTTACGTGGAATTGGTGCATGTGTTTAGCTATTTGCATTTGCACCCTGCCCCCTCGAAGCTCACCTGTGCCAGTCACTCTGCCCTCTCGAAGCTCACCTGTGCCAGTCTTCAAGCCTTCTCCCCCCCTCCCCCCAGCCCCCATAGATAGACAGAGCAGGTGTGTCTCAGGCGCAAGGCCCATGCGGGGAGCCAGCGGTGCCCAGAGAACCGCCTCCTCCCTGTCTCCCCCCCCCCCCCCCCGCGGCGGGGAGGCCTGTGCCATGGGAATCTCACCGAGTTCTTGTCACCCAGGCCTGGCGTCCGTGGAAGCCTACAGCTACAAGACCAACGAGTGGTTCTTCGTGGCCCCGATGAACACGCGGCGGAGCAGCGTGGGCGTGGGCGTTGTGGAGGGTAAGGAGGTGGCCGGGGGTGGCGGCTGGTCCTGCCTCACGTCCTCTGCCTGCCCTGGCGCTGAGCCTTCAGCTACGTGGTCCAGTTCACTCGTGAGAAAGGCCACGTCTGCAGGGACGCGAGACCTGGGTCATGAGACCGAGTCCCAGAGGGGTTCATGGATGCGCCAGGGGAGGATGCTAGTACCCAGCTCAGGCCAGGCTTCAACCCGGGTCTTCTGACTCCTCGTACAGTGCTCTTCTGTAGCTCCACTCCTCAGATTGTTGGTGGTTCAGAGAGGTAGCATTTCATAGACGTGCGGAAGTTCAGTGGGATGGCCAGTGCTGACCCCTTGACCTTCCCCGCTGCGGGGCTCAGCCAGAATGTCCATTGCGTTAAGGTGTGTGCACAGCTGGGTACCGGTGGCTCAGGCTGACATCCCAGCTACTCAGGAGGCTGAGATCTGAGGATCATGGTTCAAAGCCAGCCCGGGCAGGAAAGTCCGTGAGACTCTTATCTCCAATAAACCACCAGAAAACCGGAAGTGGCGCCATGGCTCAAGTGGCAGAGCACTTGCCTTGAGCTGAAGAGCTGAGGGACAGCGCCCAGGCCCAGAGTTCAAGCCCCATGACAGACAGAAAAAAGGAAAAGAAGGGCTCAGGGTGGCTTCTGAAGAGCTCCTGGCCCCAGCTGAGATCAGGTGCCCCAGTGGGTTGCAGACGCGGCCTCAGCCGCTCACTGTGTTCCAGGGAAGCTGTACGCCGTCGGGGGCTATGACGGCGCCTCACGCCAGTGCCTCAGCACCGTGGAGCAGTACAACCCGGCCACCAACGAATGGACCTACGTGGCCGACATGAGCACCCGCCGCAGCGGGGCAGGTACGCGGGGCGCAGGTGGCAGCCATTGGGCCCCTCCCCCTCCTTTCCCGGGACCCTGCAAGATCCCATTAGTGCTTCTCACCCCTAGTGTCTCTGGGGACTACACCATGTGTATGTGTGGGTGTATGTGTGTGTCTTGTGGGTGGGTGGTGCTCTACCACTTAAACCACAGTCCCCACTATCGGCTTTTTGGTGGTTCATTGGAGATGAGAGTCTCACGGATTTTCCTTCCCCGGGCTGGCATCCCAGCCTCCAGATGAGCTGGGGATTGCAGTCATGAGCCACGGGTACCCAGCAGGCCCATCTGTACCTCTTTGACAGTGAAGGATTGCCACGCGGCTGGGTGACAGACCGTGTCCTGATGCACCCTCCTCACGTCTCCGTCTGGCTAGTTTTCCCGTAGCTCTAAAGGCTGAAATAGTCTTACCAGGGTCATGTTCTGGCTACAGATTTGGTCATGGTTATAGCGTGTGGTTCTAGGAATGGCTGCAGGTCATAGCGTTAGTAGCTGGAAGGGTTAGGGTTTTCTCTCTCGGGTTGGTTCCCACAGACTGAGACTCCATCTCCATGCCTCCCCCCCCACACCCAGGCTCAAGGCCTCTGCTGTCTTACTCAGACCCCTCCCATGGGCCTCTGAGGTGAGGGGGAGGCAAAGCAGGGGAGGAGGGGACCCTGACGGGGCTCCTGAACAATCCCAGCAGGATCGGGGCACCGCCGAGAGCCAGTTCGACCTGCCCACGCCACTGGCCACGGCAGCTTTGTCTCTGCTGGCCGCTGGGCATCCCCTTCTGACCTCTGGTCTGGGCTGGGTCCCCTGTCTGTGTCAGGGCTGCAGGCTGGGTCCCCAGGAGAGGCAAAGTTCCTCCAGAACCTGCTGATTTCTAGCCATTGTTGGTGTGACAGCGCCCTCTGCTGTTTCTTCAGGAGAACTGCAGCAACCTCTGGTTTACAGGCCTCATGGCCAGGATGCAGCCTCTTCATGAAGGGCTGGTTGTCTAAGGGGCCTACCAGGCCATCCCACCTCCCTCCCCCTACAAGAGGGGAAACTGAGGCCCAGAGAGGGGAAGCAGAGCCATCCTCCTTTGTGGGGGGGGGCTCATCTCCTTGGCTTGCCCGGAAGGATCCGGGACTGGTCAGTGAGGCCACTCAGGCACCAGCTCAGGTGGACCCACCTGTGAGCCGTCCCCACCAAGGGAGAGAAGAGGAGAGGAAAAAAACAAAGGCCCCTGGTGTGACACTGGGAAGGTCTCCGTGGTGGTGATCTCGGCTCCCTAGTCTCAACTTCTCATTCTTACTGGGTGAATAGAAGGCTGAGTAATACAATGCTGTGGGGAAATGATGCACTATAAATAGTAGCCTCCCCCCCCCCCAAAAAAAAAGGGAAAACAAGGGTAATGTGTCATCCCTCTCCCAAATATGTGCGTGTACATGTTCTCTTTATTTACGTGGTGGTGCTGAGCTTAGGGTCTTATGTGTTTGCTAGGCACAGGCTCTACCACCCAGCCCTTCCATCCTTTCCTGTGCTGGTTATTATTATTATTTTTTCCCTGCCCTGGCATGTGCTTGGACTACCATCTTCCTCTTTTAAGCTGCCCTTCACCCCTGCATAGTTGGAGCTCCAGATGTATCCCACCACGCCCGACATCTTCGGTTGTGATTGAATCTGGCCGACTTTCCTGCCCGAGCTGACCTCGAACCTCAAGTCTCTCATTCTCAGCCTCCAAAGAGTGGCTAAGATTACAACTCTGGAGGGCACTGGTGTCTGGCCTGTAGGATAATTAATACAGGATACTACTAGAAATGAGATCGCATTTGCTTTGTGTTATGACATCTCCAGGCTGCCAGTCTTTTTTTTTTTTTTTGTCAGTCATGGGGCTTGAACTCTGGGCCTGAGTGCTGTCCCTCAGCTCTTCAGCTCAAGGCGAGCACTCTACCACTTGAGCTACAGCGCCACTTCTGGTTTTCTGCTGCTTTATTGGAGATAGGAGTCTCACGGTCTTTCCTGCCCGGGCTGGCTTTGAACCGAGATCCTCAGATCTCAGCCTCCTGAGTAGCTAGGATGACAGGCGTGAGCCACCAGCACCCGGCAAGGCTGCCAGTCTTGACATGCAGGCAGCATGTCAGACGTGAGCACTGACTCTTGGGTCACCCTGTGGGATGGGTGCCCACACCTCCTGGCTTCTGGCTCAGGTCACTGGACCTAGGCCGGGACCCTGTGCGCTCTGCCTTGCAGGGGTCGGAGTGCTCAGCGGACAGCTGTATGCCACCGGCGGGCACGACGGGCCGTTGGTGAGGAAGAGCGTCGAGGTGTACGACCCGGGGACCAACACCTGGAAGCAGGTGGCCGACATGAACATGTGTCGACGTAACGCAGGTAGCGCGGCGCGCGATGCAGGTGTTACCTGCAGGGGGGTGTGGCCTTGCTCCCTGCAGGTGCTCGCTCAAAACGACAAGGACAGGGCCTGGAACTGAGCCCAGCCGGCCTTGGGTTAGGGGAAGGGAGCCCTGGGATCTAAAAAGCTCATCACGGGGCCCGCCATTCAGCGCAGAAGGGTCCCTTCTCTCCAGGGAGGGACGGCGACCGTCACGGTACCCAGATGGCTACAGACGAGACGCGCCCTCTGACTGGCCACCGCCTGCCCCATGCCAAGTGGCTTTGCTGGTGGCTGAGCACAAGGCTCATGGACACAAGCCAGACCATGCCACTTGGGTTTTCTTTGTTTCCTCTGGACCAGACAAACCCCTCTCACTCCCATGCGAGCCTCATTTCCTTCCTTGTAGGGAGAGCCGGAATCCGGATGGATTCTCTGGTAGATCCACCTCCTTTAACCCCTTCTGTGTACTTCCTGTCTCTGGTGAAACCACTTCCTCTATTCTCTGTATTACCTCTGTCTGGTTAGAACCCCTTTATCCTCTGCTTTGTACTTGCTATATTTCCTTCCCTTCTCCTGTTTTTTTTTTTTTTTTTTTTTCTGTTACTTCCCATGAAATGATTTCCTGGAGTATTTAGGTTTATATTTCTCGGAGCTCAAATATTTCAAACAATTTCCTTTTAGAACTTGGCCTTTTGGGTTGTGTCCTTTGTAATCGATCTTGCTCTGGAAGAAAGTTCTCTTGGCCCATCTTCCCAGCCTAGAAAGTCTCACAGACGACTTCCAGGCGGATTTATTTCCTTTATTCTCATGGTATATGTTTGCCAAGCCCATTTGGAGCTGACTTGTTGGAAGTATTAACAGAGGAGGCTTTCTGACTTTCTCCCTGGCCTCTGCCCCATGTGATAAATCTAAGCCACATGAGCCCCAAAGCTAGCCACTCTATGTGGAGGGGTATGTTCTGACGTAAATGTGTGTATGTTCACATATAGATACTGTTTAACTCAATGACAAAAGTGAATCATTCTATTCTATTGCTTTATGAGGTGCTTAAGAAAAACGCATGTTACCACCAACATCTTCACGACAACACTAAATTTATTTACAGGATTTTATTGATTTCATTCGAGGTTGGTCCTCTACCACTTGAGCCATCTTCCACTTCTCAGAGTTTTTCTCTCAACACTGACCATAACCACTTTTGATCACCTCATCAGTCCCTTAACTTTAAAAGTACACAATTTGTTGGACTATGGCCTTTGAAAGTCTTGATGAATGGTAATTACATTTCCACCAGCTCTGGGTCAGGATGTAACAGATGACAATGCGTCTTCCGGGGCCCCAGACCCCCTCCTCCCGGGGCCCCAGCCCCCCTCCTCCCGGGGTCCCAGCCCCCCTCCTCCCGGGGCCCCAGCCCCCCTCCTCCCGGGGCCCCAGCCCCCTTCCTCCCGGGGTCCCAGCCCCCCCTCCTCCCAGGGTCCCAGCCCCCCCTCCTCCCGGGGTCCCAGCTCCCCCCCCTCCCGGGACCTCAGCCCCCCCCTCCTCCCGGGGCCCCAGCTCCTCCCGGGGTCCCAGCTCCCCCTCCTCCCAGGGTCCCAGCTCCCCCTCCTCCCAGGGTCCCAGCTCCCCCTCCTCCCGGGGTCCCAGCCCCCCCCTCCCGGGACCTCAGCCCCCCCTCCTCCCGGGACCCCAGCCCCCCCTCCTCCCGGGGCCCCAGCCCCCCCCTCCCGGGACCTCAGCCCCCCCCCCCTCCTCCCGGGACCCCAGCCCCCCTCCTCCCGGGGCCCCAGCCCCCCCTCCCGGGACCTCAGCCCCCCGGGGTCCCCTCTGGGGCTTTCCACTGACACCCCTGGTGCTGCTGGCCCCCAGGGGTGTGCGCAGTGAACGGGCTCCTGTACGTGGTCGGAGGGGACGACGGCTCCTGCAACCTGGCCTCGGTGGAGTACTACAACCCGGTCACCGACAAGTGGACGCTGCTGCCCACCAATATGAGCACGGGGCGGAGCTACGCAGGTCAGTGCTTTGGGCACTGGGTGGAGCTATGCTGATCAGGGCTTGTTGCTCCTCCCACTCTGGGTGGAGCCATGCAGATCAGCACCCCAGGTCCCTCCCACCCTGGGCGGAGCTACACCAGCAGGGTCCCGGACCACCCCGTGCTCCTGCAGCCGGGTGGGGGGTTGTGAGCTTGCTGATTTGGGGTTCAACACACAGAAGTGCCATGGCAGGCGCTGCAGGAGCCTGAATGCAGCCGCCTCAGAACTTTTCTGTTCTGTCATTTTCGGTCCCGGTGATTGAACTCGGCCTCAGGCTTGCTAGGCAGGTGCCCTACTGCAAAGCAGGTGCTTTCCTGCTTCGGTGTGACCCATGAGCATCCCACACATGGCTTTTTCTTCATTATCGGCTCCAGAGGTAGACCCAAAGGAGACAGACACACGTGCAGTTGTGTGTTCAAATCCACTGGCCAAGTGAGTCTAGCATCTGAAGACAGAGGAAACTTCTCGGAAACACAAAGATTCACGGCTGAAATTATTTAGTAGAGCATGACTTTAAACTATCCAACACGCCCCCCTCCCATACCCCCTGCCCGCCTCACCCCCACACACATACCAAACCCCAAGAATGACTTAATGTTTGGCAGTAGGGAAATGGTGAGGTCCCGGTTAAATGCTTACCCAGTGAAAAGCACGGGAGATGCTGGAGATGGAGATGGAGAGGTCAGGGGAGTATGTAACAAGGCATGTGCCATTTGTGCTCTGTCGTGTGTTTGTGTGTGTGTGTGTGTGTAAACCGGACAGCCACTGCTTCTGGACATGGACTTTGCGGTCAGCTCTGCCACTAGCCCTGGGAGCTGAGCCAGGCATTCAACTCATGAAATCTTCAGTCCTCTCCCTTGTGAAGTGGGAATAAATTAGATGCAGCCTCTGAGGACCGAGTTAGAGAAAGAGAGAGAGAAACAGGACAGTAAGTGTACAGCGTTGACCGCAAGGCCTGCCTGGCGCCGGACGCCACTTGGGAAATGATTGCCATTGTGCCCAGAAGCCAGGAAATATTCCAAAAAGACTATGGTGCTGCCATTCAAATGAAAGGATTAGAGATTTTTTTCTTTGTGTTCTCCTTCTCCAGTCCCTCACTTTTTCATAATGAAGCATTCTTACTACTTTTTACCGCTAAATGGAAGTTCATGGGGGGAAAAAACGATTTAGCATAATGGATAATGGCTCCACACCTATAATCCTGGACGCTTAGGAGGCTGACGTTAGGAGGATTGTTGTTGGAGGGTGGCCTGGGTAAAAAGGTCACAACACTTCCGTCTTGGCCAGGAAAGAAGCTGGGCATCCGTTTGTCATCTCAGCTGTATGGAAATCATAACGGGAGGGACCGAGGTGCAGGCAGACCTAGGCAAAAAACAAAATTGCTATTTGAAAAATAATGAAAGCAAAAAAAGGGTGGAGATGTGGCTCAAGCAGTAGAGTACCTGCCTAGCAATTACGAGGTCCTGCATTCAAACCCTAGCAGCGCCAAACACACGCACACCAGAAGTTCCACCCTTCGAAGGGCTCCTCAGCTTGGTGATGTCAACTCGGGTGGGAACTCAGGAGGGTGGGTAGCAGAGCTTGGACTGGGATCTAGAATTCGCGTTTCTGCGAAGTCAGTCTACTCTCCTTTCCAGTTCATTCCGCTGTCTTCTAAAAGGAGATGTGAATCAACCATCCAATGCAGCTTTGGTGGTATCAGCATAGTTAAGCCTTCCTGGAGGCCCAGGAATCTGAGTCATTATGATATGTGGGGTGCGACCATCTGCCTGGAGCTTTGGAGGGCCTTTGGATCCAGTTGATTTGGCCTGGCAGGGCAGAAACACTTAGTAGTGTTGGCAGCCCCAGCCCAGAGGCCTTTTATTATTTGGTAAAGACAGGTGCCCATTCCCGTGGACTTTAACAGGATGTCTAATGCTTCACGAACTCAACAGGGACCCTTCGTTCCTATGGCGGAGTTAAGATAACTTCCTTTCCCTCAGGTGTCGCTGTAATTCACAAGACCTTGTGACCCAAACTTCTGCCAGAGATGGAGGAGAGAGAGAAAGAGAGACACTTGGAGCAGAGGACCAGAGCCGGAAGTGACTCGCCGGGGTGCCAATGCGGTACCAGAGCACTGTCCTCCACAGCGTGGATTCTAATGACCCGGCTCCTGCTCCAAACGAGGTGCTTCGGTCTCTGTCCTGAGCAGATTCCTACAGGTTATAGGAATCGTCTTTAATCTATAGGTTATAGATTCCTGAATACCCCAGCAGCACCTTTGGACTTTTTAATGGCATTTCTACAGGGGTGGGGGAGGGGGGGGAAGAAGACCCGTGTGTGTGTGTGTGTGTGTGTGTGTGTGAGAGAGAGAGAGAGAGAGAGAGAGAGAGAGAGAGAGAGAGAAACGTGTGCGAGTCCACTGGATTTCTTTACTACTGATGCTTTCGCCATGCTACAAATCAAATCTCAGTGACCTCACCTCAGGGCGGTCCCGTGGGACTGTAGACTACTGATGCTTTGTCTTCCGGAAGTCTGGTTGGCCAGGCCGGGGAATGTCCCAAAAAATATAACCGGCCAGGCAGGCAGCTGTGACCAGGCCTGACACGTGACTTGACCCCCGTGGCCCTGCACGAGAGCGGAGCTTCTTCCTCACGCCTGCGCCGTGTCCAGCACACGCCACGTGCCACCCCGTCGGCAGTCTTCCTGGGCTGTCCTCTAGGAAGCAGATGAGTCATGGCCTCTCTCTCTCTGGTTGCCGACGTCATGGATTCTTCCATGTGAAGATCTTGTGTGTCTTCAGCAGGGAAAAGGAACTCTTCGGAGAAGCCCCAGAGCAACACACTGGAGGAAAAATAAAAATCTATACAAGAAAAGGAAAAGAAATACAAGGAGTGGTGTGGATGAGGAGTCGGCCCTTACCCACAACGCGCTGGGTTTTCCCAGGCTGGGACAGCCAGGCGAGGCTCCTCAGGCCTGAGGATTGGTCGTATGGAGATGAATAAGTGAAAGGTGCTCTTGAGCTGTATGAGGCGACGTGCCAGCTGGGGACGGCCCCTGCCACTTTGGAACGATGCTCCAGTTCCTCTGATCTTGTTGTCTTCCTTTTTATGTGATATCTTCCCATTTCAGGGTCTGTACCCCTCTCTCCAATTTCTAGAACAACCCACCACTCCCCCCTCTGTAACCCCCCCCCCCCCATGGCTTTCTCAGTCAGGGAGAAGATGGCAGTAGATCCTGGGTTTGAGATCTCCCTCCAGTGATCCTAGCATTTCAAGAGTTTGAGAAGAGCTTTGAACTCACAGGTGATGGTTATTAAGGCCAGGACTTCAACCATGTGGAGAGGGAACTTGGAGCATAAATGGTGTTGTTTGCATTAAAAAGAAAGAAAAAGAATCTGGGCGCCGGTGACCCACACCTGTCATCCCAACTACTCAGGAGGCTGAGATCTGAGGATCACGGTTCAAAGCCAGCCTGGGCAGGAAAGTCCGTGAGACTCTTAACTCCAATGAACCACCAGAAAACTGGAAGTGGCACTATGGCTTGAGTGGTAGAGTGCTCGCCTTGAGCCGAAGAGCCGAGGGACAGCACCCAGACCCAGAGTTCAAGCCCCACCACCCGCCAAAAAAAGGAACCTCGCTTTCCTAAGCGAGCAGCTTGCTTGTGTTGGGGTTTCTAGCATGGGAGAGGATGCCTTGTGTCTGGAGAGCAGTCTCACTCCCACCGAGGGACTGGGGCTTAACCCAGGACACCCAGAGTGTGGTGAGCCCTGATGTTGGGTGTGCCTTGCCAGCTGTGTCTCCTGAGCAGATGTTGGGGTGGTTGGCAGCCCTGGCGCTCCCTGGCCCTGCAGTTAGAAACCCGGGAATCCTCCCCAAATCAACTGTAGGTTTATCGGGCACTGCCGTGGGACTCTCTAGAAGATGACATCTCTCTCTCCCATATCAAGCGAGGGCTTAGCACCCTGGCACCCAGATGGGGTCGGGCTGCGTGTGCCCAGCTGTGCGGAGTCTGGGCCACACTCTAGCCTGGGGCTTCTCTCTGGGCAGTGGGGATCCTGGACTTCAGAGCTCAGCCTGGCTCCAAGTTAGAGACCGGTTGACTGGGCTTTTTGTTCTGGATGTATCTCTTCTGGTCCCAAGGAGATCTGGAAAATTTGGGGGGTGGGGCAGGGGTGATAAGGTGAGGTTGGGTGTCTCATCCACGTCCGATGAAAGTGGATTTCCCGAGAAGCTGGGTGGGGAAGGCCTGTCTCTCCGTATCATCATCCTAGCCATGTTTTCTGATTTGGGGGTGTTGGTTATTGTATTTCCCCTCCTAATCTGTCTGTCTCCCTGGGAAGATACCAGGTACGATTCTCAGGTCCATCAGATCCGCTTTCAAGCCTGCTGGTCACGTGGCTGGCCGAGTCTCATTTCCTTCCCCTCCCCTCTTCCCCTCCCCTCCCCTCCCTCCCCCCACTTGTGAACACAGACGGTCTTGTCCATCCTCTTGTCCGGTCTGGTCTGGTTGCAAACAGCTTCAACACCACTGGGAGACCGATTTGGACCACACGTGAGAAAGCCCACCTCTGTCCCCAAGCTCTTTCTCACAAGTACCCAATAGCATCCGTCTGGAAAAAAAAAATTGCAGTATCATGCAAATGAAGTGACCTCACGTTCTCCTATGCAATAAGAATCATTCCCACGACAAGCCGCGGCATGCGACCCCCTCTCGGGTCTGGAGCTGTCTTCCTTGGATAGCTTGTGTAATGTCTGTATATTTCCGAGCCAAATTTTTTCTTTTCCTTTCTCTCTCTTCTCCTGCTGTCTTTGTAAAGTTTAGCTCGCAGGCTAAAAGTTTAATGTAGACTTTTTATTTCATAAGATCCCTTTTGAGGATAGTTGAATCACTTTTTATTGTCCACGGTAATGAGACGCGATGTTTGGTATATGTCCTCCGTTCTGTCCACGCGTGTGGCCTCCTTCCCTTAATTTCTCACCTTCCCGAGATGGATTTCTCAGTTCCACAGACAAGTCTCCTTTCGGGTTTTTTCCTCCTTCCTCCCATGCCCTATTTAAAGAAGACTGCTGAATTTAAAGACAGGCGCTGGTGTTTCTTGAATCGCTTGGGCGTAACGCTGAGCTGAACTTGACGCTCTACTGCTGCGTGTCTGGTCTCTGGAATCGTGCTTTCTTCCGGACCCGTCTTGTGGTGGCTTTTCCTGGCTGGCATTGACCCTGACACATGAGGGCTCCTTGCTCACCCCCTTAGGCTTCCCGGGTGCAGCAGGCTTATTCCTCACGGTCTTCTGCTCCCTTGTTCTGCGGGGGTAACCTGTGGGGAACATGTTAAGCACACGCGCTTCAGGGGTTCACACCAGGCTTAGGGTTGATGTGTCTTTTCACTCCAAGCTAGCCTCTGTGTATTGATCTGCTGTTAGCCTTCCTGTTACGGTTCGTTGTTTCCTTTTTAAAAATATTTTTATGAATGTTGGGGACAGATGTCATCAAAATGGCCTCCGTGTTTAACCTGGGAAGTTGCTTGGAGCTGGGGGCGGGGCGGGGGGGGGCACAGACTCAGATGAGAGCGAGGAGGAGGCTGGAATGTATTTTGTGTTCAAGCATTTGCACTACTTAGAGTCCTGGCTGCTTCCCGTTCAGCTGTGTGCCAGCGGCATCCGGCATCGGGGGACAGAAGAGCATCCTCGGTGGCGGGCAGCCACCGGCGCCTGGTGCCACCTGCATCCAGGGACTCGTGGGTACAAGTATCGGCCACGGCGTTTGCCAGAAAGCAAATTGCCTTCGTGCTGCGTGCTTACCTTTGGCTCTGAAATTGTAAATTATCCCCCGCCCCCCTTTTCAGTGGCAATAAAGAACCCTGTTGGACTAAGAACCCCTTTGGGGCCCATGATAATTGGTATGCAGTGTGTAAAACACACTTTCCCGGAATGCATGTGTGTGGATGCTGGGTCCCCGTCCATGCTGGGTGACGGGTCATCCCCGGATCTCTGGCGGGCCGCACGACGCAGTTCCCAGGTCAGGCCTTTGGTCCCGCGTCCTCTGCATGGATGCAGGGGACCAGGTTCTTCTGGAATGTGTGATCACTCACAGCGACCGTGGAAGAAACCTCCCTCAGATGTCTTATTTTCACAGGAACCACACTCTGGTTTCTCATGCTGTATGTTTAATAAAAGCCAAACGGTGGTGCAACACTTTCTTGTGCGTCATTTCTACACTGGTGGGTCTACTCATCATCTCCGACGGGAAATGGACACTGAACTCCCCACTGGTCTTCTGTGGATAAATTTCTCCCCCCTGACCCGTGGGATGGGGTCTGCCGTCACCTGCCCCCAGCACACGGTCAGACCTCAGCATTGAGGCCTGGCGAGGAGACCCTCTCTAGCGGGTGTCAGGGGGTGTGGACTGTGGTCAGGTGTGTGCGCTGGTCCTGGGGCCTGAACTCTGGGCCTGGGTGCTGTCCCTGAGCTCTTCAGCTCAAGGCAAGCACTCTACCACTTGAGCCACAGCACCACTTGCGATTTTCTGGTGGTCCATGGGAGATCAGAGTGTCATGGACTTTCCCGCTCGGTCTGGCTTCGAACCATGATCCTCAGAGCTCAGCCTCCTGAGTAGCTGGGATGACAGGTGTGAGCCACCAGCGCAGGGCTGCTATGATCTCTTTGAACTCAACACTGAGATCGGGAAGGGGCCTGAGGAGGGGGCACGGGGCTGGGGGAGGGGAGGAGGCTGTCCCATCATCAAGAGTGCCAGGCGTGGTTAATCTCCGCATCCCGTGTGCAGTAGAACATCAAGTTGAGCTCAGTGTTACTCCCAAGCTCTGAACCTCCTCCTCCCTGGAAGAGATGTCCAGCAGCCCCTTTGAGTCACACTCAAATCCTAGGGGGTGAAGTGGGGGGCATTTTCTGCAGGTACATCCTGAGGCAGGAGTTCCCGTGTCTGGCCCTCAGGCTGGCTCCACGTCGCCCAGCACGGCTAGAGAGAGGCCTTGACCTGCCGTGGCGTGCCAGGGGCCTGCATCGCTCGCCGGAGGAGGAAGGAGGCCTTGTTCCTGGCGGCGTGACCTTTGCCCTCTGCTTGTCCAGTTCTTGTTCCTGCTCCAGGAGATGGCACTCCGAGAGGTAAGAGATGGAGGTCGCTGGGGCTTGAACTCACGTCTTCTGTGGTAGTCGCTTTTGACCGTTGCGTTGCGTGTAACTTGAATCTCTTAGGCCCTTGGGCGCTGAGCTTCAACACAAAACAGCACAGAACAAACGACACAGGATGATGTTTTGACACATCCTCTGACATTAAGCAAACTATGCATGATGATGTATTGACGCATCCGCTGACATGGAGTCCAATGAGGCTGACACATTTGGCTTCAGGCCTTTCCCTTCTCCTCCTCAGATCCCAGCTACCTCCTGGACAGTCTCCTAGGGCTGTGTTTTGTGGTTTTTTTTTTCCCCCCTCCATTATTCTCTGTGTCCCTGTCCCATTTCAAAAAATAGAGTTTGTGTCCACCCCGTGTGCCGTACAAATCACTTGTGATGCCAGTGCACGGGGTCCCCGCTCTGACGCAGAGGTGAGAATCTCACAAGGGTCAGAGTCATGTCCCCAAGCAGCTACAAAACCGTATGCTGGTGGAAGAAACACACACACACACACACATACACAGGACAGACAGGCCTGGGGAAAGTGAGAGACTGACAGCCAGAGAGACAGCATGGGAGAGACCAGTGCACGCACACACACGCTCACACGCATGCACACACGCACGCACACGTCAAAGGACAGACAGCCAGAGAAACAGAAGGAGGTGGAGTAGAATCATCTGACGTCTGTACTGACTTTATGGGTGATTTCTTTTAAAAAAAAAAGCGGATTGTCGTAATTAGGTGTATTTGACAACCTGAACATTTTGCACCGGAAGGAAAAAAAAAAACCCAGCAGCAGCAGCAGGGGTACAGGGAGAGGGGGACTGAGGGAGAGAGGCGGGATCGTGCCTGGGAAGGGAGATAACTCAGCATGGCAGCCCTTCACCCGGACACCGGGAGATGCAAGTTCACGCGTGAGCTGCCGGCCGGGCGGTCCCGTGGCTTTGAGCCCGGCCCCGGTCTGTAAAACCCAGTTGATGCTCCAGGAGGCGGACGGGGCTAGCTGTCCTGGCTGGCACCGTACCTAAACTTCATTTCTGCACGAGGCCCAGGAGAAGCCTCCAGGGAGAGCCAGGCATCGCCTGAAGCCACTTGACTTTTCTAGTTTGCCACACCTGTGCTGACATTCCCTGCCTGCCTCCCTCTGTACTTTTGAAATTGTTGCAAAAAAAAAAGGAAAAAATTTAAAAAAGATCTACAGGATCTTAGTCTAAGAAAGGTTTCTAGCAAAGCAAAGAGCACACGGTCCAGACTTGGGAGCAGGCTCCTTCCAGTAACAGGTGCAGACGGCTCTCTCTAGCCAGG